CACCGCAGGTTACTCACACCAATTTACTGGTACCCGTTGAGGTATCTGGGTAGTTTGAAGCAATGTAGATACAATGTCTTTTTCAAGGATACAAGCGAAATGCACACTGAAGGATTGAATCCCCAAAATCAAGGTTGGAATAAAAATTTAAAAAAAAAAAAAATAAATAAAAAAAAATTTTTTTTAAACGAATTATGATGGGGACATTTCAAACAATTAGTATCGTATATTTAATGTCTTAGTACCGGGAGTATCCTATCTAACTGGGAAGATTTAAAAATGATAGGAAGATAGGAAGAAGTTGGATGCACCATGTTTTAATACGTTTTAGTGAGACTAAAGTTGTTTCACAAGTAGGATTTCCCAGGCAAAGTGCAAAAACATACATGCACAACAAACACAAACCCCACCCCTAATTTTGGATTTTCTATTAATTGATGACGAACTCAATACAACAACAACGCTATATCCCCCGACACCGATTTTTTTCAACAATTTCAAATATCAGGATGTTTAAAAAGGCCAAAAGACGAACCAGACAAGTTTTTTAAGCAATTATTACGGAATGTAGTACCCAGCTAGAAGAGCTATCCATACTTAGTGGCGTAACGCTCTTATGCAGTGGACTGTAGCGCCGCCGACCCTTAGGGTCCCCTTTATTTAGAAAGTAGGAAAATTTATAATCAAATTTAGGTACGAGATTGCCATTAGCTGTTATCATAATCATAAGTTTTTTTTTGCCTCAGTCCCTGTCTGTCAAAATTTATCCCTGCCCACCTGTATAAGAGACAGCCAACCCTTCCTCCATTTTGAGATCCTGGATTCGCCACTGGACTACATATAGGGGGGCCACCCGTCTTATTGATTGTAAAACTTGGTACAAAGAGCATGGATAACATCAGATATAATTCTGGGAGTCGCACAACCAAACTTGAAGGGTAGGAACAACCAACCTGGGAAGGTAGGAAATAAAAGGTGGCAGATGTAAAAATGTTTACATCTCCCTGGCTGAACCACATTTGAATATGCTTTGTAGAGTTCAAAGCTCTTTTTGGACTATTAACTTTCATGTGACTAAAACACATATGTTACAAGCCTAAATTATGCTCACGATGACAACACATCAGGACATATACTGTATAGGCATATATTTTGGTTATACAATTATCCATAATGCAATATGGCAATATAAGGATTATAGTTGTTTCATTTATAAAATCTAAAATAAAAACTAGTATTTCCCCAGACATAATGCAAAAAACACACACATACATAATAAAACACTAACTCCCACACTTTAGACAGTATCCTGAACATACTTTGAGTGTAGAACTTGGCACTAAAATACTTATTTGACATATGATCTGACAGTTTATCAACAGACTAGTTTCATTCATTGCTGCAAAGTTAGACATTCTGATTGGCCAATCCTACCATTGCAATAATCTACTGACCAATCAGCAGCATTATGGATTGTTATGTACAAACTATGTCAAAATCATAAATGTTAAGATATAATTTGGTGGTATAGATGAATTTTAATGCATTATGAGTATAAAATAATGATAGAACAAAAACAAAATATAAATCATTTTAAACTCAAGAATGGTTTATTAACCATAAGTTAATCATAATACTATTACAACTTTTTGTGTAAGAACACATTTCATAAGAACACTGAGGCTGAAATTGAGTAAAAATTAAGCAAAAATTAAGAACAAATTGAGGCTGAAGTAAAATGCCAAATGAGGTTTTTAGATGAATATTAATACATTAAGAGTATAAAATAATGATAGAAGAAAAACAAAATATAAATCATTTTTAACATAATATTTGTTTATTAACCATAGGTTAATCATAATACTATTGCAAATTTTTGTATAAGAACACATTTCATAAGAACACTGAGGCTGAAATTGAGTAAAAATTAAGCAAAAAACAAGAAAAAATTGAGGCTGAAGTAAAATGTCAAATGAGATTTTTTATAAAAAAAAAAATATAAACCAACTAATCTTATTTGTACCTTATGTGCAGTAGGTGTATGACTATGTAATACCCTCTATAACAGTGTACAGTACTATACTGATATAATAAATTTCTATGATTGAGAAGTGTGTAAAAATAAGAACATTTTGAGCCTGAAATCAGCCAAAAAATAAAAATAAGGACCCTAAGCCTGGGAAAAACTTTACTAGTTCTTTCAGACAATACTTTCTATCGAAACTTTTACATTCATAAAATCTAATTGAAAAATAATACGTTTACCTAGCATTTTACCTAGTGTATATCATTGTTTACAAATTCTAAATTATCATAAATATTGTTGAAATTGAAAATGGTTATAATGATAATTAAGATAAAACATTTACAAATAATGTGGGTTTGCAAACCAGTAGAAATATAAAATATTCATTAAATCAATTGTTTTTGCAATTGAACAAGAAAACATTTGGAAGTTAGCTTTTTATAAACATATATTACATTGCATTCAAATCAAGAAATATATTTATTCCCAAAAATAATTAACATCGAAAAGAGTTAGAAAATAATATATCTTCCTAAACTAACTGATCTACCTTGATGTTGATAATAAAAATATCAAAATAATTTCAGAAACACTGATTAACAATAAATACCATGATACATTTAAGTTTCAATGACGAAATGATGCTTTTTATTAGGTCTATTCTTGTATTTTTGTTAGATCTATGGGCATATCTTAAATATCACACATGCAATAAGAAAACAAGGATGAAAACTGATGTTTTGATTGGTAGGATTTATTTTTGAGACGTGAATTATATCGTCACATGACCACCAGCGATTTCTATTACAAAAATCGTGTAAAAATATTTGACAAATTTGACGGACAGCTCGTCTGTGTCGAGAGTTACTAGCCAGAAGGAAACATGGATTAGAAAAGCTATTGAGATTGTCAAACGGCATCTATCGTGAAGTAGATTAGTAGTGGAGATACTGTAAACTTAATGAGTGGGTCTTTGCGGTTTGGTGTCAAAGGTCACAGCTAATCCTCACAGATTTCCGACAGGGAAAGACTGATATCACCGATTGACAGGGAGTGAAAAAAAAACATGCTATCTTTTATGTTTATACTGCGATTAAGTTTGGTTGTTACACATAAATGAAAAGAAAAGGTTAGTATAATGACACGGGGATGTAAATATGTTGGAAACTACGATGTTGACATCAGGTCTGGTTGACATGATGATATGTCAACCCTAACAATAAATTCATCATATGTTAATGAATGAAAGGTCAAAGCGAATTACCAAGATGACATTGCAAATAGTAAGTCATTTGACGCTTTTAAAACACAATGTTTAGACGAACTTAATACATTTCTTAGTTGTACAAAAATCTGTAATACAGTAACTATACAAATCAGATAGTATGTATAATACATACTCCAAGTATCGAAATGCACGCTATCGTGTTAGGATTCAATATTTCGACATTAATTATGTCATCATCAGGATGATACAAATAATCTATTATATATTACAGGTGACATGAATAATAAACTTAAATTTAGGAAATAAATATATTAATCTATCATACCATATGGTACATTGCCAACAGTCATTGCTCATGGCACTCTAAAGACAACTTACAAACAAAAGAGTACAAATTATTTTTTTCTCAAATACTGTATACTGTATCATGAGAATCATCATAAATGAAACAATAATAAATATAATTTCAGCAATAGTTTACATTTCGGACATGTTCTATGTCAACCACTCAAAATAAAAGGGGGACACAATCAAAAAGTAGTTACTACTACCACTGCATGCTTAATTCAAAGCTATTTGATTTTTTTTTAGCATATTTAAACTAAAAGTTACTTAGTTCAAGTCATAACGCTGGGCTTTTGCTTGAGGAAAGGCTGGGTACATAATATTGGGTGTAAAGTAGGGGATGGGTTTTTACCAGAGAACTACAGTAATAGCACCGAAAGGGAAAATAAGTGAAGAAAGTTTTTTCAAACACTAAGAAAAAAAGTTTTTTAAAGTTAGCTAGGTTAGGCCTAGCCCTTGCCATGGGAGCAAAATTTTGTCACGAAAAATGGCTTAGATTTTATTTTACCGTTTTCTGCAACAAAATAATACCTCACACAGAAGCCAAAATTACCTGTGCTCACTGTGAAGCATTCATTTGAAGTGATTTTCAAATGAAAACATGACCAATAATGGCCAAAACGTGTGTTATTCTCTTAATAAAAATCGCAAATCCATGCAAATAGCACCCCGAATTAACAAAAAGTGCTTGCTTTAAACTTGGTTTTATGTTACCTTATTGGTTTAAATGAACTTTCTTTCTCAGCTGATATAACAATTTATATTTTGAAAAATTTGAAATACAATTTTATGTGCTTTTGTACATAAAAACGATTGTTCGTTACTATGTCATCATCGAAAATTTTGTTCATAAAATCAAGAGTTCATAATTCGGCAGTTCGTAACTGGGAGATGTTACTATATTTCGTTGCAGAAAGTAGTAAAATCAAAGTCGTATTTCACGACAAAACTATAGAATTATGGAATCTTCAATAAATAATACAAACATTACATGGTATTATTTTAATGCTACATTAAAAAAAATATTAAGTAACAAGTTAAAGTAAATAAAAAAATGTATCTTGATAAATTTATTTTAGATAATTAAAAATATTACTGAAGTATACTAATGTTTATATAAGTTCATGTTTAACTTGTACACATATTGCAAAACCATAATATATTCAGTGCATCATGTTCTAGTGCATGTTTAAAATAATAATTCATGGCATATCAGGTTAAAGAAGAATAATCAGCTAGAAATACCTACAATTAAATGATAGACCAATCAGCAGTACCCAAAAATAAATGAGCCATATATATCTAGACAGAAAATGAAATTTGGCAAGCATCATACAAAAAAAAAAAAAAACCTACGAAGGAGATGCTATGAAAATTATGTCAACAGTAACATGTACTCACTAGAAGATATACTGGCATTTATCCTTCCCGGCACATGGATCAATTTACACGGAGGACCTGCAAACATTCCGCTAGGCTGCTGCAGCATCGTAATTTCTTGTAGTGTTAGCATTGTCGTACGTTGGAAGGAAATTGCACGCACACTCTCTGGGGAACTTCGTCGGGAACATGAATTTTAGTCTAATGGAGTTTAGAGTCATTAACTACTCTTATCAATGCAGCCTAGGTTCTTCTAATGTGTAATTTCAATTTTGAGGGATAACAGTCCAAATAGCAAAGGCATATACAACATTTGCCATTTGTTCCCGAGTGACAGAAAATTTGTTGTCAAACCCTGCTTAGCAACCTTGCCTCTAATTAGGGCTATAGTTCACTCGAGAGTGAGTATGCTTTCAGGACAGATGGCCAATCAGGACAGGGTGGCCAGACCAAGTAATAACCAATTACAGGACAGTAATAATAATTCAAGAAGATGAATGATTTGGGTAGTTTCAACAATTGATTTCTAAAATATTTCCTCCAATAATTGATTTTATTCCGCTATTAACTCATTTTCAGATAACTCACAAAGTTTCACTGGGATTTCTCCAAGGACTTTTATCTGTGAACTGCATGTAAATAACCATATTCCAGGAAATCACTTCAATGCTTTCTATACCTATCAAATTATTAACAAACAACAAACACCAATGATGCTGGCCTTTTTTTTTTTTAAAGGGCAGTAGACTACAAATGTTCAGAAATGTCTAATTCTGAAAGTAATGCAAAAACTCTCCCCATGTTAGGACTTAGAATAATTTCCTGTCCATAATCAGTATGCAGCGCTAGAAGTAGACATGTCATGGAGATCATTCACTCTGTATAGCTTTCGTTTCCACAATTATTTATTGGACCATTTGTACTACATCACAATTTAACGTTTACACTATCCAATGTTGTGTAGTGTAAGTCATATAATTAATAATCCCTATGGGTTCCAAAACTGAACAATAATTTTGGTATTTCAAATTTAATACATGGTATTAAAACACTATCCTGTGACATTCCCCCAAAAAAGATTTATTTCTGAATCTTTCACTGAACAAATGTTAGGCCTAGTACATATTTAGTTTATGGCAATAACAAATAAATTAGTAAACTGAGTTGTTAAAACATGTTAGTAAAAAATCCTCAAATGATTAAAACATACCAACATAACTACGCTGCAATCATATAGTAGACCATTAACAAACAAAAATGGTTTTTTTCCAGATTTATTGGTTTAGTGTTTTCTTTCTTGCCTGATTTAAAATTCTGTATTATTTTTATGAATTTTTAAATGCAATTTTAAATTATTTTAGTTGTTAGAAAATATTCTTCATACAAACATCATCGTCTCAAATCGCGTTCATAAAATATAGTGTTTGTGTAGTACTTGTGAAGTTTAGTAATTTGGAGATGTCACTATATTTCAATTTGGGTATATGCAGGTGAACAAGCATAGGAAATAGGCTTAAACAGTGTAGACACCTTTTTAAATCACATCACAAATTCATCATTTTGAACATTTAAGTAAATCTACTGTAACTATAAGGCTCCCTTTTAAATTTCTATATCACACATAAAAAAGTGGTAAAAGATTGATCAAGGCAATGCTGCAAATATACTACAGTAGTATTTCAAAATGTTACTTTATTTTCATATATTTACATGGCTAAAAACAACTTGTAGTCTAGTCCATGCAAAAAAACACCAAACATTTCCCTTTCAACATTTTAGAGCTATCACAAAATTATATTTAATGAAGTCAAAGGGATAACTACAAACTAGTAAAAATATAGCAAGTTAAGATTGCAAAAATTTTGCGAATTAGTGTTGATCGTTTATAAGAGCAGCAGCTTGTAAGTTTTGACCAGTATTCTGAATACAGTATCTGCTTGGTCATCGACTTGCCTGAAGGCAAAAACTCACTTTGTCATCTCATTACAAAACAGGGTCAGATTTTGTATTGTCTCACTATATTAAATCACAAACAAGTAATATATTTTTACTTCTTTTTTTTAACTCTAAAATTTTAGGACATGTTATGAAATTAAAAGATTTATTGATTCTGGGATATTGCAAACATCTTGAAAGGGAGAATTTTTTTGACAATTAAGATCACTTGTGAATGTTTCATATTGTTGCTGCTTTTTCTAGTTGCATTTGTCATAAAAGTGTTTATTTGTCTTGAATCTGTTGGTAATATAGGTGCTTTAAATATAAATCCTAATATTATTATTATCAACATCATATCGCATATGTCAGGTGCATAGCTACCACACAAAATGCTTTATGAATATTCATCATTATACACTGCTGACATGAAGCTGCTTAAAAAGCATTTGAACTACACTTATGTCTAAAACATATCCAGTGTTATTTGCCATAAACAAATGATTCTAAAATGGGGAAAATTGCAGAAAATCTTGCTGTATACTAACCACTATTTTGTAGCTTTCCTAAATATCTCATTTAAAACACTGAAAAAACCTACTGTAGTGAAATGCATTGAAAATATTATTTTCTTGATTTTAAAGCTGATATTGAGCAGTAACAAAAGAAAATATTAGTATACAGTGTAAACAACTTACAGTGCGTAAGCCCTTGGTTTAGCCTGTGGGATCATAATAATGGGTAACAATTTTGTATTCGAGCAGTTAATAACTTATTTTCTTTGTAGACTTTATGTTATTTTAAATTTTGCTTTGTTTTATAGTAAATAATTTGATCATTGCTAATTTGAATTAATATTAACAGTAGCCTCCACCTTAGATTTAATGTCAATATAATGTGCTAAATACACTTAAGAATTCCCTGGTTATTAAGTTATGCATAAAAAATACAAACACAAAGAGAGAGAGAGAGATCAGTGATTGCATTGTCTTCCTATTATTCCATGGGGGGGGGGAGAGGGAAGAGGGGGAGGCAGTGCCCTTGTGTCCCCTATTGGATCCGCCCCTGATTTCCAGAGTCTTGGGTGGAAGGGAAGGGTATTTTTTAATTTCTTAAAATTTCCCTCACATCCAACAGTAAGTACACTTGACACTTACAGGATGAGAATGATATTACTTTTAACAATAATGATAATGCAATCAAAATGCAAAACTATTACTTGTTAAAACAATTATTCTGATTACAAATTTGTATTAATATTTATTTTAAAACTAGCTCTATTTGTAATTACATATACATTTTTTATTATATTCTTTTAATGTTCAATATTTAAGTCTGTATATTAATCTCACTTCATATATAAGTTCATTTGTTTTATACACTACATACACTAGGCTTAAGCCTATACTATATTATTAATATAAATACAATTATTAGATAAGATAGGATCTGTCTCTTATACACATCTTTCCCGAGTGACAGCTTTTGATATGCAAATCCAGTCAAACAAACACTGTTGCAGCCAAGCGAATGCTTACTGCTCATGCTCAGTTCATAATCTGTCTCTTATACACATCTAGATGTGTATAAGAGACAGATATATATGTTAACAAATAAATAACATTAATTAAAACGTGGAGATAGTATATTGTTTATACCTTGGCTACTACAAAACGACAAACGGTACGCTTTCTCCAATAATAAGGCTTCTTCTAAGAATGGAATGATCTGATGGAAGCACGAGCTCCTGCAGACCAAACCCAGTATCATTGATATTATTCGTGCGGGAAATCTACACGATTGTAAATATCTCACAGCTTTGAAATACTGTCAATAAATAATTTTTGTTTTGGTTTACTCTGCTTAAAAGTTTACCTGAGACAACTTGGCTGGCATTATGTCTAGTCAAGCAAAAAATTAGATCTAATATTTATACACCCTTTATCTGTTTAATCACTGCCATATAAGCTACATTTGACACACCCTGCCCAAGGGAACAGCGTACAGTAAGCAACCAACTATCTAAACAATATTCAATCATTAGGAATCCCTTGAGTTGCAATATACTTCTAATTATTAGAAAAAAAAAACATCTCCTTCTTACAAAGTGATAGAAATTTTTTGGATTATAATACCAATAGGGAATTAAAGACTTTTTATCAACATTGAAAGTAAACTCTTAGCAGTTATTAATCTTCGAGAAGGACAGCCTCGTGACAAAAAGAAAACGTATTTCATTTGAAGCTCAGTCATGCAAATCACGACAGAATCCCCTCACAAAACGCGTCAATGCTCAACACTGATTGTAGGTATGTTGCAGGAAATACACCAAGCTGCAAACTCTAAACATTTAAATCCCCCAGCACTTGTATGTTCTGTACTTTTGACCCCCTTATCACGGGCATGTTAGGTCACTGCCCCCTACATCTTCAGCCCCGGGGTGAGCAAACAAGTTTTCCATGTCGGAAATGTGGAGGAAAGTTTGCCTGAGATATATCAACTGATTAAGATATCTAATAAAGTGAAAGTACGACAGTCTTTAGTGAAATAACAAGAAATAATAATGATAAACACACTAGTGTACATTTTTTTAATATTTAGGTATCACTAATACAATTAAGAGAGGTACATTGGGTTTTCAGATTAACCATTGTATTTACAAGTTTCTTGTGTTAATTTTAAACTAGACGCTATTATTAAACTATTTTATCCGAGTCGTAAATTCTAAGCTAGGCTCTATCGGCAATTGACGTCATCGCAAGTTTAGTCTCATTCTTTTCAGTTTGCAGAGTACTTTATCCATGATTGCCGACTGCAATTATCAACTACCTGCAGCCGGTAAATGCAAGTAACTTGCAATTATTGAAATTTCAACATTTAATCTAGTCATTGGTTGCAAATTGTAACTACAGTATTGAAATTTTAACATGAATCCTATTATTATATGTGGTTGCAAGTTTTGAATCTAATCAGCAGTTACAACTCCAAACCAATAGAATTTGAACACAGAATCTAGTCAGCGGTTGCACACTACCGGTAGCAACTGTTCTGATATTTTTGATCTAATAGTAGGCCTTAGTTGAAATCGCAACCAATAAAATTTCAACATACAAAATAGTAAATATTCCAACAACAAAATACATTTAAAGATATTTCATGTTTAATATAAAACAATACAATGTATGACATTTAACTGTTTGCGTCTCATTAGAAATATATTGTTTTGATGGTCACGTCTGTGGGGTTTGCCCTTTGTATAATTTTTAAATCCATATTTATAGAGGGTGACCCTTGACCCAATCATGAGAAAATTCTGTGGCATG